TGTCGGTGCCGTCGAAAGTGCCTAAAATCATGCGAGAAGTGACGGACGTAATGGAGGCCTGTATTGGTTGGTCGGCAATGTTTGAGCGAAATATAAATAAGTTTGTGAATGCGTTGAAGAAAATACACGGCTTTAAGTCGTTGACCGAAAGCGACCAGAGATTGCTTATTAAGTACGGCTCTATCGAGTTGTTTCTACTCCGACTGACTCAAGTCTATAACGTTGAGGAGGAATATATTGCTTTGGAAAATGTAATAATTTAAAAGCTATATGATATGAATGAGTAAATTAACTGTTTGTTCGCTTATTTCTGTTTAGGACGAAGACAATAGTTTGCAAATGAAATTACAAGTATTGGCCAGTTATCAATTGGACGCCTTTAATCACTACAAGTCATATATACAGACAATATCTATGGAGTGGAATGGAGACCATACTGTACTTCATTTGGTAAATGATCTAGCTATTATGCGTGTATTTGATCATGTGCTAATACATAGTAATAATGTTTATTTCTAGTTATCGGCTATAATTATATTCAACTCAGAGCGGCCTAACATTCAACAGCCGGAACTTATTAAGTAAGTGTTATGAATATAACTTGTTAAATCTGATTATAACATATGGTTAATTAATAATTGATTCATAATTTATTATAGACTACAACAATACATTTATATGCATTTACTTAAACGCTATTTCTATATGAGATATCAGTCGGAAAGTGAAGCCAAAGTAAGACTATTGAGACTAATGGATAGTTTGCATAAAATACGGTTATTAAGTGATATTCATGCAACCAATTACTACGTACACCGGCCCACACATGTCGGTCCTATTCTTCAGGAAGTATTCAATCGCTGATATTTTTGATGATTTCATTGTTTTAAGATTCAAATCACAGAATTTATTCAGTTTTTATGAAATACTATTTACATAACAATAATTGCAATTTTTCACGTAAATCACATGTTAACAAATCGTATAAATCAATCATAATTCATTATTTACATAATAATATAGTCAATACTTGTAACAAACAGGTAAAAAAAGTTAATAAAAACTAATTTGTAAAAAACATAATAAAAAGTATAAATAATAAAAGTTGAGAAATAAAAAGTGGACAAAATGTAAATACAATTACAATACTTAAACGTCTTTGGTTTGTATAATCTTCATAAGTTTGGCGAAACCATCGCTTATTGAACAGCATTTGACAATCACTGGCATAACGTCCTCCTTATCGAAACCCATTGAAATCAACGCTTTCTTGCGGGACAACAGTAGCTCATAGGCGGCCAGTCGTGAGGTTGGGCTCAGATTGAGGGCCCGATTGGCGGCCACTTCTGCCTCTTTATACCGACGGAGAGCGTTGAGAGCACTCGCCTGTCGTATGTAATTCACGGCACACTTGTTGTTGAGTTTAATAGCGATTTGCGAGTCCTTTAAGGCCAGTCCGTAGCTCTTCAGCCGATAGAAAGCAAACGATCGGTTCGTATAAAAGCGATAATCAGTTGCATTCAATTCAATGGCTTTCGTTAGTAAACCAATGCCTTCAATATAATCGTCGGATTCAATCATTGCTTTGCATCCCTTCGACGCCAATTCAATGCTTGCCTTCAATTTGTCCATAATTTCTCGTTTTTGATTTAAAGTTAATTAATTAAAATGTAAAAATTGTATAAATTATAAAATAAAGTTAAATAAGAGGTGTATAAGACTCGCAATTAAAAATGAAATGTGTGGCACTTTTAGTGCACTTTATTTGATGTCTAATATGGTTATAATAACTGACTTTTAAGGTTTATTTTTCTCATAGACTTTAAAAATTATTTTATGAATTATTTTGTATTCAATGTTGAGTTTTATTTTAAATTTCCATTAATATTAAGTTATAATAAGTTTTAAGTTATTTGTTTAAATGTTTCTTTCAGACCTTAATCTTGGTATTAAATAAGAGTTTAAATTTCCTTTAAAACTCATGTGATTTAATGCAATGATAAGATTACGATAATTTCTACTTCAATGTGGAGTCAATTTGATAAATATATTTATCACAAACATTGTAAATGTGATGACATTTGTCACATAAAAGTTAATTTTTAGCCATAATTGAGATTATGATAATTAATAGTGTCTGATATTAAAATTATACTATGATAATATACGATTATAGTAGAACATTAAAACTCCTAGTTCTTATCAGGTATGATGCAACAAGATCCTTTAGTACTTTTGTTTTATATAAATTAAATATAATATAAAATGTACGGAATGTACAATAAATACTTAACAGCCATTGTATAGAATTAGTAAAATATTTTATATAAGTTTTATTGCAATTTATTAACAAAAGGTTTGGCGACATTATATAATTATGTTGTTATATAATTAGTTATTTGTTAAAACATTAAATATGTGACAATAATGATGGTGAATATTGTTTACTAAATGTGATATTATTGGCAACATTTTTACAGAAATGAATGACTTTGACCAAGAATTGAGGAGATGTGTTATATGTCAAGAAAAAGCTACCGGTATTGTTTATTTTATATATTGTAAAGTTTTATATTTATAACTATATTTTATCTAATATTTGGTAAATAGTTTTTGTTAATGTAGTGCAAAATATCCA